CCCTTGCTCTATGCCTTTCATTCACTGGATTGAAGTCCTTTCAATGGTGGGGGCTCAGCATCACATATGAGCGTTCTCTGGGTGGTTTGCATGCAAGTCTAGGAATGCCCACTGCTCCAGAATAACAACCACCCATCAAGGAATTTTGATGTGCATAACTGCTTCCAAGAGCCAGCCCACTGCTCGCATCAAGGCTAAGACATAGCGCTGTGATGTTTTCAGGATGATATTACAGCATCCTGCCAGCCCCTCCCACCCGCCATGATCTGCCTGCATTGCACAGAGAAGCACAGAGACCCTGTGAGGATGTTACACAGTCTAAAAAATACTGTAAGAAAAATGAAGATTTGATTTTAACCAGTTGACATCCGCGGTGTTAAACCCCCTTCCCATCCAGGCCATTTTTCAGTATTCAGCGCTGCGGTACTTTGACTGACATTTATTCCGTCATGCAGCGCTGTACTGAAATGAATTTTATACCCTTTTTTGGGGACAGATAGAGCTTTCTTTTGGTGGTATTTATTCACCACTGGGGGTTTTATTTTTTTACTATATTAAGGAAAAATTACCGAAATGTTTAAAAAAAAACAGTTTCCCCTATATTAAATGATAAAACATTTATTATTACCCAATTTTTTGGTAAAATATAAAAGATGGGGTCACGTCGGGTAAAAAGACACTAAACATGTCAAGCCTTAAAATTGCGTGCGCGCGCGAAACCTCAAAAAACGATAATACCCAAAATTGGCCCTAGGCGACGCTTTAAAAGCTGTTACCGCTCATCAGTTTAATTAGCATGTTGATGAGAGGGAGAAATAAACCAGGGAAGGTAACATATAGGCATAATAAACTTCAGCTCGGATGTCTTACTATATTGTTTACCTGAAAGTCTTTTCTAATGTAACTTTTTTTAGTCATAAAACATAAAAAATACCTATCCTGTAATGAGAGAGCGAAGGAAGAGAGCGAAGGAAGAGAGAGGAGAGCGAAGGAAGAGAGAGGAGAGCGAAGGAAGAGAGAGGAGAGCGAGAAGAAATTGAAGAAAGAAATTGAAGAAAGAGAAGAGAGGAAAAAGAGCGAAGGGAGGAAAGAGAGAGAGCGAAGGGAGGAAAAAGAGAGAGCGAAGGGAGGAATAAGAGAGAGAGCGAAGGGAGGAAAGAGAGAGAGCGCGAAGGGAGGAAAGAGAGAGAGAGCGAAGGGAGGAAAGAGAGAGAGCGCGAAGGGAGGAAAGAGAGAGAGAGCGAAGGGAGGAAAGAGAGAGAGCGCGAAGGGAGGAAAGAGAGAGAGAGCGAAGGGAGGAAAGAGAGAGAGCGCGAAGGGAGGAAAGAGAGAGAGAGCGAAGGGAGGAAAGAGAGAGAGCGCGAAGGGAGGAAAGAGAGAGAGAGCGAAGGGAGGAAAGAGAGAGAGCGCGAAGGGAGGAAAGAGAGAGAGAGCGAAGGGAGGAAAGAGAGAGAGCGCGAAGGGAGGAAAGAGAGAGAGAGCGAAGGGAGGAAAGAGAGAGAGCGCGAAGGGAGGAAAGAGAGAGAGAGCGAAGGGAGGAAAGAGAGAGAGCGCGAAGGGAGGAAAGAGAGAGAGAGCGAAGGGAGGAAAGAGAGAGAGCGCGAAGGGAGGAAAGAGAGAGAGAGCGAAGGGAGGAAAGAGAGAGAGCGCGAAGGGAGGAAAGAGAGAGAGAGCGAAGGGAGGAAAGAGAGAGAGCGCGAAGGGAGGAAAGAGAGAGAGAGCGAAGGGAGGAAAGAGAGAGAGCGCGAAGGGAGGAAAGAGAGAGAGAGCGAAGGGAGGAAAGAGAGAGAGCGCGAAGGGAGGAAAGAGAGAGAGAGCGAAGGGAGGAAAGAGAGAGAGCGCGAAGGGAGGAAAGAGAGAGAGAGCGAAGGGAGGAAAGAGAGAGAGCGCGAAGGGAGGAAAGAGAGAGAGAGCGAAGGGAGGAAAGAGAGAGAGCGCGAAGGGAGGAAAGAGAGAGAGAGCGAAGGGAGGAAAGAGAGAGAGCGCGAAGGGAGGAAAGAGAGAGAGAGCGAAGGGAGGAAAGAGAGAGAGCGCGAAGGGAGGAAAGAGAGAGAGAGCGAAGGGAGGAAAGAGAGAGAGCGCGAAGGGAGGAAAGAGAGAGAGAGCGAAGGGAGGAAAGAGAGAGAGCGCGAAGGGAGGAAAGAGAGAGAGAGCGAAGGGAGGAAAGAGAGAGAGCGCGAAGGGAGGAAAGAGAGAGAGAGCGAAGGGAGGAAAGAGAGAGAGCGCGAAGGGAGGAAAGAGAGAGAGAGCGAAGGGAGGAAAGAGAGAGAGCGCGAAGGGAGGAAAGAGAGAGAGAGCGAAGGGAGGAAAGAGAGAGAGCGCGAAGGGAGGAAAGAGAGAGAGAGCGAAGGGAGGAAAGAGAGAGAGCGCGAAGGGAGGAAAGAGAGAGAGAGCGAAGGGAGGAAAGAGAGAGAGCGCGAAGGGAGGAAAGAGAGAGAGAGCGAAGGGAGGAAAGAGAGAGAGCGCGAAGGGAGGAAAGAGAGAGAGAGCGAAGGGAGGAAAGAGAGAGAGCGCGAAGGGAGGAAAGAGAGAGAGAGCGAAGGGAGGAAAGAGAGAGAGCGCGAAGGGAGGAAAGAGAGAGAGAGCGAAGGGAGGAAAGAGAGAGAGAGAGAGAGAAGGGAGGAAAGAGAGAGAGAGAGAGCGAAGGGAGGAATAAGAGAGAGAGCGAAGGGAGGAAAGAGAGAGAGCGCGAAGGGAGGAAAGAGAGCGAGGGGAGGAAAGAGAGAGAGCGCGAAGGGAGGAAAGAGAGCGAGGGGAGGAAAGAGAGAGAGCGCGAAGGGAGGAAAGAGAGCGAGGGGAGGAAAGAGAGAGAGCGCGAAGGGAGGAAAGAGAGCGAGGGGAGGAAAGAGAGAGAGCGCGAAGGGAGGAAAGAGAGCGAGGGGAGGAAAGAGAGAGAGCGCGAAGGGAGGAAAGAGAGCGAGGGGAGGAAAGAGAGAGAGCGCGAAGGGAGGAAAGAGAGCGAGGGGAGGAAAGAGAGAGAGCGCGAAGGGAGGAAAGAGAGCGAGGGGAGGAAAGAGAGAGAGCGCGAAGGGAGGAAAGAGAGCGAGGGGAGGAAAGAGAGAGAGCGCGAAGGGAGGAAAGAGAGCGAGGGGAGGAAAGAGAGAGAGCGCGAAGGGAGGAAAGAGAGCGAGGGGAGGAAAGAGAGAGAGCGCGAAGGGAGGAAAGAGAGCGAGGGGAGGAAAGAGAGAGAGCGCGAAGGGAGGAAAGAGAGCGAGGGGAGGAAAGAGAGAGAGCGCGAAGGGAGGAAAGAGAGCGAGGGGAGGAAAGAGAGAGAGCGCGAAGGGAGGAAAGAGAGCGAGGGGAGGAAAGAGAGAGAGCGCGAAGGGAGGAAAGAGAGCGAGGGGAGGAAAGAGAGAGAGCGCGAAGGGAGGAAAGAGAGCGAGGGGAGGAAAGAGAGAGAGCGCGAAGGGAGGAAAGAGAGCGAGGGGAGGAAAGAGAGAGAGCGCGAAGGGAGGAAAGAGAGCGAGGGGAGGAAAGAGAGAGAGCGCGAAGGGAGGAAAGAGAGCGAGGGGAGGAAAGAGAGAGAGCGCGAAGGGAGGAAAGAGAGCGAGGGGAGGAAAGAGAGAGAGCGCGAAGGGAGGAAAGAGAGCGAGGGGAGGAAAGAGAGAGAGCGCGAAGGGAGGAAAGAGAGCGAGGGGAGGAAAGAGAGAGAGCGCGAAGGGAGGAAAGAGAGCGAGGGGAGGAAAGAGAGAGAGCGCGAAGGGAGGAAAGAGAGCGAGGGGAGGAAAGAGAGAGAGCGCGAAGGGAGGAAAGAGAGCGAGGGGAGGAAAGAGAGAGAGCGCGAAGGGAGGAAAGAGAGCGAGGGGAGGAAAGAGAGAGAGCGCGAAGGGAGGAAAGAGAGCGAGGGGAGGAAAGAGAGAGAGCGCGAAGGGAGGAAAGAGAGCGAGGGGAGGAAAGAGAGAGAGCGCGAAGGGAGGAAAGAGAGCGAGGGGAGGAAAGAGAGAGAGCGCGAAGGGAGGAAAGAGAGCGAGGGGAGGAAAGAGAGAGAGCGCGAAGGGAGGAAAGAGAGCGAGGGGAGGAAAGAGAGAGAGCGCGAAGGGAGGAAAGAGAGCGAGGGGAGGAAAGAGAGAGAGCGCGAAGGGAGGAAAGAGAGCGAGGGGAGGAAAGAGAGAGAGCGCGAAGGGAGGAAAGAGAGCGAGGGGAGGAAAGAGAGAGAGCGCGAAGGGAGGAAAGAGAGCGAGGGGAGGAAAGAGAGAGAGCGCGAAGGGAGGAAAGAGAGCGAGGGGAGGAAAGAGAGAGAGCGCGAAGGGAGGAAAGAGAGCGAGGGGAGGAAAGAGAGAGAGCGCGAAGGGAGGAAAGAGAGCGAGGGGAGGAAAGAGAGAGAGCGCGAAGGGAGGAAAGAGAGCGAGGGGAGGAAAGAGAGAGAGCGCGAAGGGAGGAAAGAGAGCGAGGGGAGGAAAGAGAGAGAGCGCGAAGGGAGGAAAGAGAGCGAGGGGAGGAAAGAGAGAGAGCGCGAAGGGAGGAAAGAGAGCGAGGGGAGGAAAGAGAGAGAGCGCGAAGGGAGGAAAGAGAGCGAGGGGAGGAAAGAGAGAGAGCGCGAAGGGAGGAAAGAGAGCGAGGGGAGGAAAGAGAGAGAGCGCGAAGGGAGGAAAGAGAGCGAGGGGAGGAAAGAGAGAGAGCGCGAAGGGAGGAAAGAGAGCGAGGGGAGGAAAGAGAGAGAGCGCGAAGGGAGGAAAGAGAGCGAGGGGAGGAAAGAGAGAGAGCGCGAAGGGAGGAAAGAGAGCGAGGGGAGGAAAGAGAGAGAGCGCGAAGGGAGGAAAGAGAGCGAGGGGAGGAAAGAGAGAGAGCGCGAAGGGAGGAAAGAGAGCGAGGGGAGGAAAGAGAGAGAGCGCGAAGGGAGGAAAGAGAGCGAGGGGAGGAAAGAGAGAGAGCGCGAAGGGAGGAAAGAGAGCGAGGGGAGGAAAGAGAGAGAGCGCGAAGGGAGGAAAGAGAGCGAGGGGAGGAAAGAGAGAGAGCGCGAAGGGAGGAAAGAGAGCGAGGGGAGGAAAGAGAGAGAGCGCGAAGGGAGGAAAGAGAGCGAGGGGAGGAAAGAGAGAGAGCGCGAAGGGAGGAAAGAGAGCGAGGGGAGGAAAGAGAGAGAGCGCGAAGGGAGGAAAGAGAGCGAGGGGAGGAAAGAGAGAGAGCGCGAAGGGAGGAAAGAGAGCGAGGGGAGGAAAGAGAGAGAGCGCGAAGGGAGGAAAGAGAGCGAGGGGAGGAAAGAGAGAGAGCGCGAAGGGAGGAAAGAGAGCGAGGGGAGGAAAGAGAGAGAGCGCGAAGGGAGGAAAGAGAGCGAGGGGAGGAAAGAGAGAGAGCGCGAAGGGAGGAAAGAGAGCGAGGGGAGGAAAGAGAGAGAGCGCGAAGGGAGGAAAGAGAGCGAGGGGAGGAAAGAGAGAGAGCGCGAAGGGAGGAAAGAGAGCGAGGGGAGGAAAGAGAGAGAGCGCGAAGGGAGGAAAGAGAGCGAGGGGAGGAAAGAGAGAGAGCGCGAAGGGAGGAAAGAGAGCGAGGGGAGGAAAGAGAGAGAGCGCGAAGGGAGGAAAGAGAGCGAGGGGAGGAAAGAGAGAGAGCGCGAAGGGAGGAAAGAGAGCGAGGGGAGGAAAGAGAGAGAGCGCGAAGGGAGGAAAGAGAGCGAGGGGAGGAAAGAGAGAGAGCGCGAAGGGAGGAAAGAGAGCGAGGGGAGGAAAGAGAGAGAGCGCGAAGGGAGGAAAGAGAGCGAGGGGAGGAAAGAGAGAGAGCGCGAAGGGAGGAAAGAGAGCGAGGGGAGGAAAGAGAGAGAGCGCGAAGGGAGGAAAGAGAGCGAGGGGAGGAAAGAGAGAGAGCGCGAAGGGAGGAAAGAGAGCGAGGGGAGGAAAGAGAGAGAGCGCGAAGGGAGGAAAGAGAGCGAGGGGAGGAAAGAGAGAGAGCGCGAAGGGAGGAAAGAGAGCGAGGGGAGGAAAGAGAGAGAGCGCGAAGGGAGGAAAGAGAGCGAGGGGAGGAAAGAGAGAGAGCGCGAAGGGAGGAAAGAGAGCGAGGGGAGGAAAGAGAGAGAGCGCGAAGGGAGGAAAGAGAGCGAGGGGAGGAAAGAGAGAGAGCGCGAAGGGAGGAAAGAGAGCGAGGGGAGGAAAGAGAGAGAGCGCGAAGGGAGGAAAGAGAGCGAGGGGAGGAAAGAGAGAGAGCGCGAAGGGAGGAAAGAGAGCGAGGGGAGGAAAGAGAGAGAGCGCGAAGGGAGGAAAGAGAGCGAGGGGAGGAAAGAGAGAGAGCGCGAAGGGAGGAAAGAGAGCGAGGGGAGGAAAGAGAGAGAGCGCGAAGGGAGGAAAGAGAGCGAGGGGAGGAAAGAGAGAGAGCGCGAAGGGAGGAAAGAGAGCGAGGGGAGGAAAGAGAGAGAGCGCGAAGGGAGGAAAGAGAGCGAGGGGAGGAAAGAGAGAGAGCGCGAAGGGAGGAAAGAGAGCGAGGGGAGGAAAGAGAGAGAGCGCGAAGGGAGGAAAGAGAGCGAGGGGAGGAAAGAGAGAGAGCGCGAAGGGAGGAAAGAGAGCGAGGGGAGGAAAGAGAGAGAGCGCGAAGGGAGGAAAGAGAGCGAGGGGAGGAAAGAGAGAGAGCGCGAAGGGAGGAAAGAGAGCGAGGGGAGGAAAGAGAGAGAGCGCGAAGGGAGGAAAGAGAGCGAGGGGAGGAAAGAGAGAGAGCGCGAAGGGAGGAAAGAGAGCGAGGGGAGGAAAGAGAGAGAGCGCGAAGGGAGGAAAGAGAGCGAGGGGAGGAAAGAGAGAGAGCGCGAAGGGAGGAAAGAGAGCGAGGGGAGGAAAGAGAGAGAGCGCGAAGGGAGGAAAGAGAGCGAGGGGAGGAAAGAGAGAGAGCGCGAAGGGAGGAAAGAGAGCGAGGGGAGGAAAGAGAGAGAGCGCGAAGGGAGGAAAGAGAGCGAGGGGAGGAAAGAGAGAGAGCGCGAAGGGAGGAAAGAGAGCGAAGGGAGGAAAGAGAGAGAGAGAAGGGAGGAAAGAGAGAGAAGAGAGGAAAGAGAGAGAAGAGGGAGAAGAGCGGAAAGAGAGAGAAGAGAGAGATTTAGTTTGGCTTTAGATACACTTTAATCATTTACAAGATGAAATGTCTTCTAGATGACAAGTAAGAGGCATCAGCCATGTCTCTCATCCCAATGTTATTACCTGTGAGATGCACATTTATTGTTCTGGGTTCACAAGAACCGTCTGCCTAATACAGTTCCATATCCATGTATCATAATGGTAAACAGGCTGCTTTCCTCTGTCCTCTGTGACATTCATGAAACTTGCATTCATTCCATCAGCAAGGTGATGGATCAGATCTCATTTGTGATAAATCTAAGAAATGTGGCAATAATCATTGTGGAAAGCATAAAAGCCCTGTTCCCATCTACAAGTAGCATCACATTGTGAGCAGAATATAAAGCAATACATGCCTGGGGCAAAGGACAAATGGTAATGTTGCAGCAGCTAATGTGATGAATAAGAGTTACACAGAATGACATGAGCATGGGAGGGGGGAGGACAGCGGAGGGAAGTAATCAGGATATTCCAAGCAAGGCACACAGTCCCAATAAACACAAACCTGAGCCAGGGAAAACATGGGCGCTGAATATTCACATGGCTGAAAAGACACCAATTCTTATGTCCTGAGCCAGGGCAATGGGTAAATAACAGGCTACAGAGTCCTGAGCCAGGGGAATGTACAGGTTACAGGGTCCTGAGCCAGGGCAATGGGTAAATAACAGGCTACAGAGTCCTGAGCCAGGGGAATGTACAGGTTACAGGGTCCTGAGCCAGGGCAATGGGTAAATAACAGGCTACAGAGTCCTGAGCCAGGGGAATGTACAGGTTACAGGGTCCTGAGCCAGAGGAATGTACAGGTTACGGGGTCCTGAGCCAGGGCAATGGGTAAAGAACAGGTTACAGAAAGGGTATAGGCACAATTCTGTATCTGGTGTCTAAAGCTGGCCACACATGTATTGTTTTTTTTCTCATTGCGCTCCACAAGCTTGATTTTCCAATGCCAGGTTGTTGTATTCTGACAGAGAATGGTCTTCCCCATAATGTGATCATTGCTATTACCTGTCACAGTAATCACATGATTGGGAGTCCATCCTAGAGGCTACCAATCATTGGTATGTGTCCAGGAGCAGTCCATGCCAACGCGATCACAGCGCTGGTGCATAAGCATAAAACAGCAGGGCTGGCCATACCATTATACATGTGGCAGAACAGCATAAAGCCCACCTCCATGCTGCCATGCATACGAGTACAGCCAGTGGGAAGGGGTTAATGATGTATTCATAAATATGCACTGCATTTATTTGCATCTTTTAAATCTGCCTGGAGTTCAGCTTCCGTGGAGGCACAAAGAGGGCCAGCATTACTATTTAATGCAATTCACTGACTGCTCCAGCCCAGTCTGCTTTCAGTTCTTTTGGCTGTTACCTTTTCTACGGCCTCAACTTTTTCACGCTCCAGTGTTTTCTCCTTCTGTCTCTCTGCTCTTAGTTCGGCTGTTGATGTCGCTCTCAGAGACGCAAAGTCTAAGGTCATCCACTCGTCCCTCTGAAATGGAAGCACAGGTTCATTTAGCATTGCAGAACGCACAGTCGATCTCTGGTCTTATGGGGGAAAACCTTCCCTAAATCATAGAGGAGAGTCAGCTGAATGAACGATGTGTTTGCAGCACACCGGCAGCATTTTAAACTGTGCTCATATAAGGATGAATTCATACCCAAGCGTGAACATTTACAGATGATTTCGGAGTATTTTTGCGCCTTTTTGCTCATCTTTTCAGGTGCGAGTGTTTTGTTTTAGCCAATGGAAAGTTTTCTTAATTAGCTTTGAATTTCTTTTTTTTTTCAGGTGTTTTCCCGGTGCTTCTATTGAAGTCTATGGGGTCAAAAACACCCCATTCTGCTTCAAATGTAGCTCATGTACCTTTTTAAGCTTCAGGGTGCCGAGTTACAGCAATCTGAGAGCTCATATGTGAACGGACAAAATTTAAAAGAGTAGACATTTTGGTTGTCGAGGGTTTTGGAGATTTGTAATAAGAAACGAAAAAGAGAGAAGAGAAGGAGCGGATGGTGATAGAAGAGAAGGAGCGCCACAACCTATCACCATCATCTCCACATTGGTCATCAAACAGCTTCCACTACAAGGACCCACACAGCTCCTCCGCCCATTAGATGCCCAACAGCCATACCTTTCAGACCACACACCAACTGACAGGGATACACATCACTGAGCCAAGGCGTTAGCATCTCATATAAGTGCAAAGACTCCTTTTTTCAAAACTTACTCCCACCCCAATCCACCTTTTGGCGCTAGGTTGTGGCGCTCCTTCTCTTCTCTCTTTTTCGTTTCTTATCTCCAAATCTTTTGGCGCTAGGTTGTGGAGCTCCTTCTCTTCTCTTTCTTTTTTGTTTCTTATTACACATATTAGACACCTCGGTCTAATACAAGCAGGAGCCACACTCCAACCTAAGGTGTAGATTAGGGCTTAGAGACAAGCAGACTGTACAAGTAAACTGCTACCTTGTTCATTCAGGGCAAAGTGACAGGTTCTCTTGTAGGAAACCCTCCCACCCAATGATATTCACTACTCCACTGATCCGTCAGTAAATACCCAGGTATAGGGCAAGAGCCCGACCTTTTCCCAGGATGTAGTGCTCAGGCCTGGGCAACCAATCACCAAGCCTGAACAGTGTCACTTGACAAGGAGGAAGAAGTAGCACTGTGAAAGTTCCAACATGGAGCTTAAACATTGTTAGGAATCTGACGGAGCATGGGAAAGGCCGGTATCAGTGGGTGTGCTGTAAACGTTTTGCTTTGCTCTAAATGGACAATGTGACTGTGTCTCTTTAAAGTCTTTGTATAAAAGTAGTTTTGGGTGAACCAGTTGTTGCCTCAGTGTATTGCTGGGTTTAAAGCAGACAGGGATGTGATGTTTTTTAAAAACCCTTCTGAGTTTCTCAGACACCCCAGCTACATATGGGATGACCAAATCCTTCCGTTTGTCATGCTTTTCACTCTCACTGGTACTCTTGCCATTCTTTCCTCTCTTTCTGTTTTGATAAAAGCCTAGTCTGGATACCTGCACATCCCTGTCTGCTTTAAACCCAGCAAAACACTGTGGCAACAACTGGTTCACCCAAAAGACCCAACACCAAAACACAAGATGAACAGCATTGTGTATGCAGTCCAGTGCAGTGAGGAGTGCTCAGAATTGTATGTCGGTGAGACAAAACAGCAGCTACACCAGCGTACGGCACAGCATAGAAGAGCCAAACCCTGTGGTCAGGATTTGGCAGTATACCTACATCGAAAAGGTAAAGGTCACTGCTTTGAAGACAGTCAAGTACGCATCCTAGACAGGGAGGAGGACTGGTTTAAAAGAGGTGTGAAGGGAAGGATGTTTTGATTAGTAATATTTTTTGTGACCATTTTCCAGGCCACCTACAGTTATTTAGATATATATGTGTTAAGGATATAGTTGGGTTCAATTAATTGCATTTTTGTATAAAGATGCACACTATCACACCATAATCAACTAAAGGTGAATCATTTCCCACTTTGACAAACTATTGATGGTGTACAGAATATTTGGCACACAGAACGTTGATTTATGGAAGGCATCAAATCATTGCTCAAGTTGAAGGGTTTAAACAGTAAAAAAATGGAAACACTAATGAAATAAAATTAATAGGTAGTTAATAATAAAAGTTAATTATAACATGAGTCACTCACTTTAAGGGGTCAAATTGGAAAGGCCGGCCCTGTGCAGATATGGATTGGGCTAGGGATAACAGGTACAATACAGAGGTTAGAAGGGATTAATGTAATGTCTGGTTTTGTTTTAATGTTGATTGTTTTTCAGCTATGTAAAATTTGTGAAATTTGGATCTGAAAATAAATAATTATTTCTAAAATCAAAAGAAGTTTGAAAGAGGACATTTATGTCAATATGGAGAAGCCAAGTTTGAATAGAGGTGAGGTGGGAGGGTGGGGGCAGGCTATTAACAACTACTAGACTCCAATTATGCAAATGGGATCAAGACCTGGTTGCTACTATCAGATTATGAGGTTTGGAGCAACATTCACCATATTTATTCCCAGAGACTTTTTGTACAAGTCATTCTGAATTGAGAAAGTTGGTTGGATGACCAGTGAAACGTCTTCAAGAAAAATACAAAAGTCCAGTTGCCTTGACTTATTTTTCACAGACAATACAATGTACACAGGTACCTAATAACCTAACAATCAGATCTAAATGAATAGTAGGTTATGACAGCAGTCAACAATATTTAAAACAATATAGAGAGCTCACGAGGCATATTATGACAGGGTAGCCATTCAGGGAAAGAAAAAGCATGAGCTTCAAAGTGGTCCCTACAAACATATCCACGTGCAGGCATTCAGCGACCATTTTAATAGTTCTTGTAAGATCAATGGTGAGGGGGTCACAATAGGGGAGTTAAGCCAATCCTGCCACAATTCTAGTAAGTTTTTGGGGCAAACCCTGTTTTGGTATATCAGCTTCTCCCTAGGTAAGACGGCATCGATTTAGCTCTTCCAATAGCCCGAGGTCGGAGGGTGTGGGGAGAACCAATTTTGAGCTATCAACATTTGTGCAATAAATGGCGTACAAGAGAAAAGGGGTGGATTCCTGTTATTGATGGTGCTCCTCATCCAAATCCCCAATAAGCAAACTTTCAGGTCCAGGGTAATGGGCATTCATAGCACTGAGGAAATGGTATGCACTACCCCCGACCAATATCACTCACGTTTAGGTAGTTCTACCACGTCTTATTAAAGTCTAAAGCCACCCAAATGTTTTCACTCAATATTTATATTTCTGGGTTGGGTTCAGTTGGATAGGATTCCTCTTTGCTGTAGTGCTAGGTAGATTTATCTCCCTCAGGGTCAGGCTCGGATATCCATTTGATCCAACCGAAAGTTCACTAAAGATGTAGTGCAAAACATTCTGCAGTATTTCAGTATTTTCATTTCACTGGTCATTTTCCATGGGATATGTACAATATAGGGCTGCAACCAACTAATTGCTTAATCGATAATGAGAATAGTTGTCAACTATTCTCCCACCCCACCCACGGTGTGGTCGCCCGCACTGGAACGTATGGTACTGCATTCTAATGCAGAGCGATTGCAAAAAATTGTGCATGCACTATTATTTTTAAGTGAATTTTATGTTTGTAACACTGCATTTGTGTATTTTATTTTAAAGGAGAACTATGAGGTGAGTGCTTTTCACTCACCTCATAGTTCTAGCCGACCTGTGACAATGAGACTGTCACAGGTCGGCTCAGTAGATCGGGAGGTGAGCGAACACATACCGGGTTCGCTCCCCTCTCGATCCTGTCACGGCTCTCTGCTGTGACAGGGGGGGGGGCTGGATTCCCCTCTCCCCGCTCCGATCTGCCAGCGTTGACTGGCGGAACGGACGGGGGAGAGGGCGGGTACAGCTGTCTCTCACGCAGCTGGGCGGACCCCGTCGTCTAAGTCGGGATCCGCTCCGGCTGCGGCGTCTCAGTATACCGCGAGCTGTTTGTGTCCTCCCGTTACCCTAAGGTAACCCATACTTGTTCGGGGTCAGTGACTTAAAAAGTAGGACATCCAGGGGAGGGCGGCATAACAGTCCGGCAACAAGAAATTTCAGAAAGAGGTCAGCAATGGCGGCCCCATATTTCTCCAATGACAGATTTAATTTAACTTCTTATATGGTTTATAATGACATTGGTTGATCACGGTTAATTGTGAAGCAATTACGGAACACAGCGAACATCTGCGCACTCGAGTTCCATCAGACGCTCTGCTCTGAGTGCTCAGATGGCTGACAGACTATCAACTCCTATGAGGGGACAGCTTGGACAGAACAGCAAAATTCTCATTACAATCTGAGGCAAACAAATCACCCCAAAATATCATAGAAAGATTTCAGAGAAGACACAGGGACACCTGCAACATATTAGATATCGTTCTATAAGGAAGAAAAGACCATGAAGCAAATTCAGTGAGGCCTCATTCACACGGACAGCAAAGGGGGCGGTAAAAAAAAAAAAGGCAGTTGATCGACGTTTCCTACAGTCTCCCAACCGCCTACCTAAAACCTAACAAGGTGGCCGCCTGGGTTTGTACACATGCTACAGCAAATTCTATATAGCATAATGTGTTTGCCACCCCATGGTCAATGAGACTGCACTGCAACCACATTACAACTGCAGTTGACACTGAAAAGAGATCCACTGATGGGTTGCTTTTCAGAGGGCAGTAAAAGTCCGCCGTCTGTGTGAACAAGGCCTAACCCAGCAACCAATTTTAATTTGTAACTATGAGGCGAGTGATTTCCACTCATCCCCAGAGTTAGAGCCGACCTGTGACATTGAAAGTGTCACAGGTCGGCTCTATTGATCGGGAAGTCAGCAAACACATACGTTGCTCGCTCACTTCCCGATCATCTCCCTTCAGAGAGCGGTGACCGTTAGTCCCAGCTCGCCGCAGGGATCCCCCCGTCCCCTCTCCGATCCTCCAGCGCTGACTGGAGGAACAGACAGGGGAGTGAGCAGGCATAGCTGGCAGAGCCCACTGTCAATCAGCCAGCTGGGTGGATCCAGATAGTATTGTCGAGATCTGTCCCAGTTGCAGTGCTCAGTATATAGCAGGCTATAGCCTGCTATATACTTAGCATTGGGTCACGGGAGGACATTACTATAGGTCCTCCTGTGACCCTAAAGAGAACTATGGGATAAAAAGGTTACCCCATAGTTCTCTTTTAATGATTCATTGGCGCTGAACTGAAATCATATAGCTGGCTATTCTGCAAGCTGCGCATGACTAGCTCTTTGTAGAGCCTTATTGGATATGTCTGTTCATGTTTTTGTATTTCAAGCAAGGTGCAAAGCGCTGCCATTTAGTTTCAGTGGTGCCTGAATACATCTACAGCACCAGCATTATACAATGTTGCACTGCTCAGGAGTGTGTGCTTTCTCCAAAGACATGCTGATTGTTTAATTGTTGCCTGCCTAAATTGACCTTATTATGTGTATGGGTGTAAAAATCCAAGTACACCCTCCTAGGCAGAACCTAGTAAAACTCTGTACAGTTGCTAATGCAGCTCTGGTAGTCATTTCAAACATGGAGGTCCAGTAAAAGTAAGGTTTGAAGTGCACCAAAAATTGCAAGGGGGTCATGGTAGTGAATGCACTGGGGCAATTTCTTCTGCATTGGGGCAAAAAAATATCAGTGCAGGGGAAACACAAAACATAAAGAGTATTGCAGCACCTACATTAAAGTAGTACTAAAGGCTAATCGATATCTCCAGCATCAAACACTCCTGAATGGTGGAGGGCACCATCTGTGACTTCACATGGCAAATGGCATTTATTCTAACACTAGAAGCTAATTTTTCCCCAACTTCGCCCCAAACTCCCCACCACCAACAATGCGTTTTACCCAATGGGCTTAATCATAGGACCTCCTATGACTGTTGATTGTCCTATGAATGTCTGTGTGACCTAATCTGGTACCAATAAAGCTTATTGCGGTTCAGCAAATAATAAGCACATAATACAGTGGAGTGGGGCTTATATGTTTGCATGCCTGGAGGGGAGAAGGCAAATCCCAACGAGACCATGCACACAGGGCTGGTCCCTGCAAAGGTTTGCCTGGACTAGTGTCATTTATACACATTTATAATCATTTCAACCATGGTGAAACTACAAAATCAATGCGTCTGCCTGTGGGAGTCCTGCCTACAGCAATCAGAGTCTTGCAATTCCTAATGGGATTTGTAGTTGCGCCCCAGCTGCAGGGCCAGAGTTTGCCTAACCCTGCACTATACTATTCACAATAGCCCATACAGCAGCCGAAGGCATCTGCATCATGGCCGGCTCCACCCAGTTGTTATTCATTGGCCGGGACCTGCTAGAAGACTCTAGCAGGTGGTGGCCAATAGGAAACAGCTGGGCAGAGCTAGCTGCTAGCTTTTCCCAATCGGGTTTTTTTTCTTCTTTAAAATATTGTAATTTTTTTTTTAATCTCCCTATTTTTTTAAATTTTATAAATCATTTTGCGAAATTTTTTAATTTTTAACATTCTTTCCACTGATTTTCTATTCTGCTCGCTACCACGAGGTACCGAACAGGATAGCAAAGGCCAAATGATGCTCGGCAGCATTCGGCTAGTCGCTCACTGCTGTTCGGCCCCTATGAGAATAGGGGCAAACGGCAGCAAGTGAGCTGCCGGAGCTTCTGCTCAGCCAATCCAGATGTTGGATCGGCTGAGTCGATGTATGGCCGATTTCAGCCGATGTACGGCTGAAATTAGCTTTACTGAGCCAGAGTGAATAGCCGAACAGCGTTTGGCTCACTTCACTTCGGCTGGATTACTCACTAGGCTGCCTTCGGCAGCTGAGTGAATAACCCTGTAAGTATATCACAGCCACCGATTCTGTTTACATCTGCATTAAATGTGGTTGGTGATCCATCAAATGGTAAGCAAGCAATTCAAACAATAGAGGCTTCACAAAACAAGTCCGCCTCCCCCATAGGAAATTAGCTCCCTGAAATCCGACTGCAGGGGAAAACAGAATCTGGATGAAGGTATATCAAATACATTTTGTGACTTTAGCACCAGCTTAGCGTTTCCTAGCATTAGCGGTTCAATTATTTATTTTTTTCTTCCAGAAATTTCTCTTTCTCAAAGTAGAAATCATATCATAGGTAGCCCCCTTCTTTACACTGAGTACAAAGTCTCGCATTTTAGCATCTCAAAAGATGACTGCATAGAGCCCAAATTACAAAGCATGGAACAAAAGGAATTCTCCAGGAAAAACGAACTGTTTACGATAAATATACACTATATGGCCAAAACGTTGTAGACACTTGACCATCTTGATAAAATAAGCTTGTTGGTTATTCCATTCCACAAACAAGATATTAATATGGAGTTGTGCCGCTACCTCTTGTTGTGGTTTTAAGCGCCTTCCTGTTTCCGGCAAGGCTTTACACAATATTTTGGAGTGTACCTATAGGAAATTGTTCCAGTTCAGCCAATATTGGTCGGTACTGATGATGTTGGATGGGAGCACATGGCTGTAACTGAAGTTCTAATTAATAACAGAGATGTTCAATAGGGTTGACGTTAGAGCTCTGCGCAAGCCACTCACTGATATCCACAACAAACTCATCCAACCATGTTTTTATGGACCTGGCTTTGTGTATCTGTACTCAATTTAAGGGGCATCCACTTTAACATAACAATATAACATCTTATACATTTTAAGGTGTGCCGCAGGAAACAAAGCCCATGTCAAGTAAGATCCTGCTTCTGTGTATTCTGAACAACAAAGCAGCTTTTACTCACAATGCACTTTAAGAAGTATCTATCAGAATATCAATATTGGACTTTGCTCATCTGTTGTTTTTTAAGTTGCATGATCCTTCCCTTGGTGACATTCAGGGGCGTAACTAGAAATCCCAGGGCCCCATAGAAAAACATTTTGTAGTTGGCAGAAGATTAAATAAATGTCCTTTCACAATCCTTGGAGTATTAAGGACACCCACCAAATATGATAAATGCAGCTGCCTTACATACAGTATATCAGAGGACTGACTTCTCAGCCACGTCTTTGATTAGAGGAAATTGGATTTGGCTGTTGCAAAAGGTATTATCAGCCTTCATACAGGCACTGCTACAGCTCACTATCAGAAGAAGAACATGTCATATAACCTGATATTAGTTAAGAAGCTTGGTTGTTTATCCTTCCTGGATTACCCCTTTAACAAACAAATATTAACAAACTCACGAGTGTTAAAAGTGTGCTTGAAAATGTCTACCAGCACAAAGCTCGAGAGGAACGGGTCATGGTCTGAATCATGGCAGGGGCCATCATAGTAGGAGCAGTGACAGCTAAGAATCACCCTAAAGAGATAATAAAAGTACCTCCAATGCTGGGCCGACCTTCCTTTCCAGAGACTCTTTCTGGATTTTCCATTCCTTCTTTTCACTGGCTGCTTCAGCGGAGGGAGCCACAACCCATTCTCTCTCAGAATCCTGCAAAACCCAAAAACACATTTACAAATGCGAGAAACCTTTGCTGGATTTTCCAGAACTTAAAGTCCCTCTCACAGAAATGAGTGCAAAATGACAAAAGGAAAATAAAGAAGGTGTCTAGAACATGAAATAAGTGCCTTAATAAAGTCACAAATAGAAAAAAAAATAGTTTGGAGTCCCCTACCCCCACGTACATGCACATACAAACATGCGTTGGGTGAGCCTACGTGCGAAAAAGATTACGCCGCACATGTTACATATCACATATAAACGTTGGAATGAGAGCAATAATTCTGGGTCCATCAATCACTGTTAGCACTAAACTGAGTTGTTAGAGCTTTTAAATGCAAAAACTATGGGCAATGTCGGGTATGGTAGTTTTTTGTAATTTCACAGGCGAATGCATAGCATGTTTGGTATCCATTTACCCAACGTGACCAAACAAATGTAGCAGAATACATTGTAGCTTAGGGGCCGGCTCACACTTGTTCCAGTGCGTTCCAGAACGATTAGCTGCTGGAAAGCACTAGATAGCATCCTGACCTGCTCCCTGCGTTCGGGACCATGTCGGGATCAGTCCCGCCTGCGGCGTCTCAGTATACCGCGAGCCGTAGCTCACGGTATACTGAGCTTTGGGTGACGGGAGGACGCTAGTTTGTGTCCTCCTGTTACCCTTACGAGAACTATGGGGAAAAGCCCTAACCCCATAGTTCTCCTTTAAATACCACCAAAATAAAGCTCTATGTGTCCCCAAAAAAATTGTATAAAATGCATTTTGGTACGGCATTTCACAACTGAATAAATGTCAGTCAAAGTACCTCCTGGCCAGTATAGGAAGGGAGTGTAAACACCCCGCTCCTCATGTGATTAATTAGCCCAGTTCAAGCCTTATGCGTGCCACCTATTGCCCTTTCAATACCAGACTGTATATGTTCTCTGTTTCAGTGTAAAGCTCAGGTTTAACTATACGGTGTACAAAAGGGGAATATAAAATGCTGTACTAGCTGGATTCCTATTCCTGCCATTAAAATGTGAAGCCATTTACTAAAGAAAAAGCGTGTTTGCTGGGATGGATTAGTACAGAAGGTCACCCACCCGCACACAATGGTACCCCACTCTGATACACTGGGACAAACATCCTCTCGGTAATGAAGGCCTGTGTGTGACGCCGATATAGGACACTTCCTATTCATCCAGCATTTGTCCATCACAGTGGGATTAATTATACTAGATGGTGATATTACAATAGGATAATGGCCGCCTTGCTTGCACATAAACAACGCAGCACAGGAGCACAATTTACTTCCATGGATTGTAAATGAAATGACAGCATGAAGCCGCAGAGCCCAGAAGAGGAAAATAATTCCCACCGTAGAATCCCCCGAGGAGCTGGCCTTCCTTTCCCATTTCTCCTTCTTGGGTTTCTTCTTTTTCTCCTTCTTGGACTTTTTCTGATGTTTGTCCTTTTTCTTTTTCTTTCCAGAATGTTCCTGAAATGACAGGAAAAGATTCATGGCTGGCAGATTTATCAGTACAGAGACATCAGCATTCTATAACTCGTCTGTGAGCAGAGATCATTCCAACTTATATCTCCAAGCCAAAGTGACAGATAGCAATGTACACAAGTGGGTGTTCCTAGTTTTCTGCTGCAGTAAATTCTAAAGGATTTTAAACAAATTTCAAATGCTGAAGAAATCACTTACAAGGGTTGCTGCTTCTTGATGTTTAAAAATGTCACTTTCCTGAAGAATCAGCTGGTCCCCTGGGCACCGGTCCTGATTTTATAATGTCTACTTTCCCTGGTAGGATCCTAGGGAGCCACCCTTGTGTGTTGTAGTAAGCCGTGTGTGTTTTCACACACTTCAGTTGGTGGCGCCTCTGTTCCTTCTTGTATTCGTCTCTTCCAGGGCCTCCCCTGCCCATATTGCAACCACGGGTCATTCACAATCAATCAAAGATCATTGCAACTCTCACTTGTCCTCGCATTTGTATCCACAAACACACAGAAACAGCAAGGCAATCAACTCTCTGACCCCCTGCATCTTCCTCCTCCAAGCCAGTAGATGGACACACCAGCCAGGGATTCTGGATGACATCACTGACCAAATATGGTCATTTACCATCAATGATGTCACCCGGCACCCGGCATCCTTGGCTGGTCTGTGCTCTCCTTTGTGATCTTGTATTGGACAGGAAGTTCAGGGAAGTGGAGCTGGGAGAGTTGGAGCTGTTTAGAAACATGACGACTGCAAGTGTTTGGCCAAAGATGTAAAGAAATACTTTTCTGGGTGTATATTTGTTTGATCTGGATTCATTTTTTTAAAGTTTAAAACTACTTTAACAGTCTCATGGCAAAAGGAGATGTTGCAACAATGCTTACCTTCAATCGAGCTCTGCCCACTGCAGAAACTGCGCTCTGCCACTAGATGTCTTTAAAGCGCGCTGGTCCGGCGGCTGGCAGCTCCACCGCATAGTGGAAGTGCAAGCCGGCTTAGTGGCTGTGACAGCGCTGTGATCGATTGTCGCGGTTATCAAAGGGCTAGGACCAGCGCACATTTTACTGCATGGCGGGATCATTCCGTGACCAGTCTTTAATGAACTGAAAGACCATGACCGAATAGTCCCGTCATCGGTCGGGAAAGGGTTCATAAATAGCATTGTTTGTTAACATTTCATCAAACAACATCTGACACACAAAAGGATCAATACATTCATTGTTTTCATATATAAAAATGAAAAATACACAAATCCTTTAACTGTTTGGGAGATGCCTTTTGGCGCAAACCTGGACGACCCGTGACGCGAGTCCCTGGACCACACGATTGTGTGCAGCTGATTTCAATTGGGTTACATCCGCAGAAAAAAAAGGTACATGTACCTTTTTTTGCCACACAGGACGCTCTGCTGCTTTAGCCGCGATTGTGTTCGACTGAACGAGCGGACTGGGGTGCCATTAGAAAATAATGGCACCGCTAGCGCAATTGGCTGTGGTGGGCGACTCACGTTTGCTGCGTGGCCACGGATCGAGCAGGTGTGAACCTGGCCTCAAGCTGTAGGTGAAGTTGCAGAACAGTTTATGAACAGTTCGATTTAACCCTTTAAAGGTGATTAATGCTTCCTATTTCTGCAAACAAATCGACACATAAAGGACCAATACTAGAGCTGCAGCTAACGATTATTTTCAAAATCGATTAGTTGGACGATTATTAAGTTCGATTAATCGGTTAACAACCATTTTTTTCAAATAAGGGCGCGCATGGCGAGGCAATTCATGAATTTGTGAATTAATTTTTTCAAATATAAATGAAGAACAATCGCCAAGCAGCTAAAATAAAAGAACGAGATCCCTTTGAGGGCTAACTAGAAATCATTTGAACACAATAATTTTCCATTTGCAGTTCAGCCGACATTGACATATCCACATAATGCAAATGTTCGATTTTGTGACATGTGACCCTAAATGAATGATCATATGCCTCCAAGAACATTCATTTTAGCAACAATCATACAAGAGTAACATTCACATATCCACATAACGGAAACTTTTGATTTTACGACATTTGGCCCTGAACGAACATTCATATGCCTCCAAGAACATTCAATTTGGTGAACTTTGTACAACAGCGATATTCACATTGAACACAAGAGCATACGTTCAGCTCCATCGCCAACCCCCAGTGATTTATAAATATGAGAAATATAACTTGCCTGATTTGCACAGAACACATTTTTAAGTACATTTGTTGGAGGAATCGCAGAAAGAATGGTCTATAAAGAGACCCCCACTATGGCCCCTTTCATATTACTGTACTGCAGGGGCGGGCAATTCCAGACCTCCAGCTGTTGTGGAACTACAAGTCCCATGAGGCATTACAAGACTCTGACAGCCACAAGCATGATGGGATTTGTAGTTAAAGCACAGCTGAAGGGACGGAGTTGCCCACCCCTGCTGTACTGTAATATACTGTATTTATAACATGCTTCCAGTTTTTCTATTTTGATGTCAGTACACAGACAGAAAATGAAATGTGTTTCAGGATTTTGCTGAGCAGTATTTTTTTCTTTTCCGGGACAACTTTAGATCTCCCCCTATGCTGTCAGTGTATATGGCTGCATCTAATGAGCTGCACTACAAACATGGCTGACAGACAGTTCAGAGCCATAATACACAGTGAAAACTGCTTCCAGTGTAGAGTTGGATCTTCTGTCCTCACTAATCTCAGGGTGAGCGAGGGATGGAGAATCATCTCTGAAATACGCCGCTGACAGAGCTTTTTCTCTGACAGATCTCATGTCTCCAGTCACAATGAGATAAGATGGTTCTCAGACACGGTTGCCATCCATTATAAAATAATAGACAAAAACTGTGGTGTACAATATAGTGAAATGGAAAGTGTAAAATTATACAGCAATGAATGCAGAATGGCACTGGCTATAGAGGACTACAAATCCCAACAATAGTACATTATACAAACACAATGCAGAATACCACCAGCTATAGAGGAATACAACAAATCCCAGCAATAGTAAATTATAGCTGGCGGTATTCTGCATTGCGCTGTATAATGTACTATTGCTATAACAATGTATATATAAGAGGGGCAGTGGAGGAATGTAGTCACGGTGTTAACATTCTCTTCTCCCCGCTGGTGCCGGCTGCAGTGGTCCATGTTCCCGCTGCCTCTGCTGATACAGGTAGCAACGGGACGCAGACAGTTACAGCCAGCACCAGTGGGGAGAACGGGAGTAGAGCTGCGGCAGCGCTGCAAATAAATTGTTGTTGACAACAATTCTCATTATCGATTTATCTTGTTAATGACCATTGGGTACCGGACGTTTTCATCCCATTAACTACTCTTTAATTTTATTTTTATCACTGAAAAACGGCCAAAAAACACTGATGAGAAGAGTGCCTGGCATTTCAGTGAAGCAGCGCTGAACAACTTCCAGGGGCCACACAGCCAATCCTAC